TTGTATTGAAGTTAATGGAAGAATTTTTGAACATTTACCGTAAAAAGAGAATTATTTTTATGTGATTCACTCTTGATTTTGTTGTATGTCCGTTTTTGGTTCAAGATTAAAATATAATTTGATTTTTCCACTTTTATGTTTGTTTATAGTTAAAGTTACGAAACTCCTATTTTATACCATGTACTATTAAAACAAAACTTCGTAGAGAAAAATAGTATTAACAAAAAAATGTTTCTTTTGAAGTTCTCTATTTGCCTTCAAAGTTTGTCGTTCTAATTTTTTAACATCCTTTATATATATAACTCGAATAGATGACGTCTCGATGTTCGCCGAATATCCATTCGTTTTCATTACTGCGCTTCTCTGTTAAATGCAGTCATCATATTATCGATGTAATTCGATTCGCAGAGAGGATTGAATTATTAAGCATTATGAGCTAGTATATCACGATCTACATCCGCGCGAGTCTTGAGCTATAGCTCATGATTCAAGACTGCATGTACCTGCAGCTGCATATGTGCCGATACGCGTACGCATGTGGTTAGGAGAATGTGTGCCTTCGTACTATAAATACCGCAGCTGCGCGCTTGTGTACGAGATTGTTACAATCTACCATAACGTGAAAATTATGAAGGGAGAAGATAGGAAAAGAGGAAAGAAAATGTCTGGCAAAAATCTTTAATATATATCTTATTTTTGTATAATATATAAATATATAAAATATATAAAATATATTTAATTATATATAAAGTTTTTATATGTGTGTGCGCGCAAGCAGATGTGTGGCTCATTATATATATTGCGTTTTTCGTATTGCTGTTTTAATTATCTATCTGAACAACCGTTTCATCATTATACGTAATACAAGATCGCGAGGAAAATCTTTTTGTGAGTTCAGTAAAAGCGTACAATTACGCGAGCAATTACTCGTCGGCATCTTGAGCTTTTTCCTATGAGATATATTTTGTTTTTCTTTTCTTGAAGAAAGTTTTCTATTATTTTGCACTTTGCGTCTAAATTATTTTGAATTAATTATTCTTTATCTTTCGATTCGTGTTCGCTTTGTCTATTATCTTGTATTTAATTTACCTCGCTTAGCAGTTTCTTTCGTCCATGGGCAAAGTTTTGCCGCACAACTCGTCAATAAGAGGTTCAAGGCACTAATTAAAGTTTTGCAAACCTGACTTCCCTTCGATGACGCTTTTCCAACGATGGACAATAAAGTTATCTCCCCTCGTTTCCCGTCGTTTTCAAGATACGCGCGAGTTTGCGCGCTCCGCCGATGCGACGTTATTTTTTCAAGTTTTGCACACAATTGTCGATGACATGGAGTTCGATTGCGGTTCTCTCTCGTCGTTCTATCGATTCTATCGACGAATCCAATTTTCTTACCTTTGTACCCGGCGGTCCGAATTCCAGTTAGAACTGACTTTACGGATTTCGACAAGCGTCAGAGATCACGGTTGCCCGAAACGAGATCTCTACTGTTAAAGTTGTAACCACGTAACTCTCGCGCGTTTTGCGGTGATTTAAGAGGCTTCGCACTTAACTAGAGAAGCTAACAAATTCCGAAACTTCAAGTATTTCAATACTATTTGCTATTTAATATTATCAGTGTTACAAATCCGTTTAGAGATATAATATTATTAAATATGTTTACAAAATTGTGAAAATTCTTTAAATCTGAAACATCGAGGTGACAAAATACAGATTTTAATTTCAAAATGAAATATTTTAAGTAGTTTTTATTTTTGTCAACAGCAAAATAATTATTGTATCAAGTAATATCCAGAAATATCGAATTTCAAAACTACAAAACATTTAGAAACGCAATATCAATGTTGAATGATTGTTTGCTATAAAAGACAATAGGAAATGTGTAACATTTTCGAAACGGTTAATGTGTTGCGTAAATATAGCGTGCGTTTTCGCGAATTTATATTGGATGGTTTTGTGCTTAACTTAAATGGGAATTGATTGACACATGAACATTTCCATTACATTCTTTGATATACTTCCGAATGTAAAATGCGAACACGTGGCTGATGGAATATAAAAGAGGAAGTCGCTCGTATGTTGAATATCCGGGATAAATGTTTGCTTAAAATGGAGTAAATAAACAAACAGCGTATCGCCACGTATTGATCAGCAACCGAAATATTGAATATATAAATCGTTAATTTGACGAATGTCCACGTATGCTCTCGCGTGCGCGGATAAGCGTACCCATATAACACTCGAACACTTTATGAATAATCCATCCTACATCATCAAACTATGTATCTGTACCAAATACAGAATGATATTATAATATTTTAGTTAAGTATTGAAAATTTATATTATATAATAAACTATCTGAAGTATTGTATAAAGTTTAATGCTAATATTTACTACGCATACATATTTCAACATATAATTTAATCCTAAGAGAACTTAAACCGAAAAGTAAAGTCAATCCAGTAAAATATTTACCACAAGTTAAATCAAACATATCTGAAACAGACGCGATTGTGATCTTAGCTCGCGATTAATTTCAGTATAATCGAATATCGACAATGCAGTTATCGCAAACAAATCGGCCGATGGCCGCGTACAGCGAGAGATTTCTGAAATAATGCGGCTGTGTATACTTGTTGTAACGTGAACAGACGTGCTACTTTGACATTTGGTTTGTGGCTCAATTTGCATGTGATAAATGCGCCAGCGCGGCCTGTCCCGCTTTCACGGATGGCAGAGGAAACACGGTCTTCTGCACGCATAAATGCAAAATCGAAACTTTGGTAACCTTTCACCCCATGCGGTGGCTTCGCTCCGATGATCAGCGGATGGCCGTTCGCGGCATAACTTTACCGCATATTTTACGTTGGATAAACACGGTTATTACACTTAACATGCGAAACGATTCGTAACTATGCTAATTATGAACGAGAGAGCGAATGTTAGGTGTTAGATATATGCGCGTGTACCGAGATATTTAATTTATATAAATTATTTTGGCAAATTATGTAGGATAGGTGAGGGGGAAAAGAGAGAGGCAGAAGCTTTATAGTATCTAAATAATAACGCGTAATTTAACATACCCGGTTGTAAATGATATGCTTGCGGAGCATCACATGGAAATCAAGTTGAATGTTGCGCAGACTTAGAAACAAACTCACTAAGATGTAATTATTCACTGCTGAGTCCTTTATAATAATGACAAATGACTATTCCTTCCGTTCTCGCTCCCTTCTCTATTTTGAGGATACGCTTCCGGAGAAAGAGAATGAGAGAAAGAGAGAGAGAGAGAGAGACAGTGATAACGGCAGCTTCTGCAATGCACGATGCTTGACGATTCTTTAACTTCTCCGTTATTAAACTTTTGTCTGCCGGATCATAAGTATCGGAATAAATTGTTTCAACGTGTTAT